TTGTAGGTCCCTGAAACAGTTGTGTAAAAAAGATAGATTTAAGACCGTAAAAAAGTATGTGAAATAACTTACTGACGTTTCGGACGCTATCCTTCGTCAGTGATAAAAGAGATATCAATCAATCAATCAATCTGCTGCCGTGGGCCGAGAGATATAGTGTGAGTTTATATTGGTACCTGAGGCTATCCTGCCCATCGAGGTAGCGATAAAACCATCTGACACTCTGCGCCCATTAAACTCCTGCCACTCKAATATGCAGTCATGGAACGCATCTTGTGGATGGAATCGTGTTCGTTCCATGACTGCATAATCAAAATACGGCCTTGAGTTTCTTCTCAACCGCATTAAAAATTGGAAACAGCAAAGCCTCACCCCGTCCGCGGAATATAACTGCCACACCTCGCGTTGATGGAGTAATTTAAAACCCATAGTAGTTTTTTGTTGTCTTCTCTCTCAAAGTACGGTCAAGAAAGACCACACCAAAATTGGTGACAGAGGGATGTATTGTTTTAAATCAGGTGGACCGAGCAGCATTGGCGAGTGGGAAATTTGTTATTTGGATTTATCTTGTGATCGAATAAAAATGTCAGATAGTGACGTGATTTTTAGGGCTTTGAAAGTGACCCCTATGTCAATAAGAGAGAAAAACAACCACCAATGACGCGATTCTATTACAAGGTAAATAAAAATGTATAAATTGATTGTGCCCGGCTTCTACACTGTCTTCAGAAAAAAAAAACACTGACCATGGAAGTCCTTACAAGAATTCTTCGGGGAAAAACGAAAGAACGCTTTGAAGGAAATTACCACACGAAAGACATCCTACAAGACATCTTTGCCGTGTTCATCTTTAATACAATATGGAGGATTGATTATCCTGATGATCTACTCGAAAGCAAACTACAAGACAATCGTCCTTGGACGAAGTTTTCCGATCAACCACCTTACGACGTTAAACAATATGTCTACAAGAATCGGAAAAGATTCTATCCAACCGCGCTAAAGAAAATACCCAAAAGCATGTTTTCAAAACTAGATAAATTTCTAAGCACACTCTCCAAGTATGAGCCGTTTGACCCACTCGCCCCAGCGGTTAGCCAGTGTCCTTATTCTGCCGAAGCAAACGTTGCGCTCAATAGAAAAAAGATTGCGATTAGAATTGAGGAGTAACATTTATGCAATTTGATTATTTCAAAAATCTTAACTTCAAAACATTGACTCGAAAGCTTTTTTAGTGATATTAATTAACTGCACACAACATTATTCTAACATGATTTTACGAAAAGGTATTCCTTAATGGATTCTGTGATTGAGCCTACCTTTTTACTTTATAATTTATATGTACATATCTTGATGGCCTATGGTAAAGAAAAACCAAAATTCATTGTCAACATTCAGAAGAAGAAGTTCAGGAACTTAATGTACACACAAATACAAAGTGGTCACAAGCAGAATAATTAGGGACTGATCGTATATTACATTACAGAGTGGTTAGTKTTTTGTAAATCACTTTTCAAACTATAATGTACCCCTATCATAATCTTAGTTAAAAAATTGCAYCCACAATCCTTAAGAGAAAGGGGAAAAATAAAAAGAACAAGCTCACAAGAAGGACAATCATACTACTATATGATCACTTATAGTGCCATTTTCCTGAGCCCGCGATCAACCGGTCAGCGGAAAGGGGGGGGGTGGGAAATGCGTAATGTTCGTATAAATTAAAAATCAGGGACCCAAAAGGAGAAAAAATTAATATTCATGAACCGACATTAAGAGACAAAAACCCGAAAAAATAGCCCCGGATCCCAAGAAAAAAAGCAAGAGGAAAAAACAGGGATTACATGTAAAACCCATTTCAGATCCGTTTCCCGTTCAAACGCACTTATTCTACCATCAGTTTTTTTAACCCTGATTAGTTTGCATTCTATTGAACAATGTAGCGGAGATCAATAAACGAGACTTTATGTTTCATTTAATTCACTTTATTAACTTATAATAACAATTAAAAACAATTAATGATTGAAAAGGTCTAATAGACGAAACATGTTTCATTCAAAGTCTTGGTGTAGTGTGTCGAAAGAGGTGATTTTAAAAAAGAAAACAGTTTAACATATAGCATGAAATTTACAAACTCTTTAGTGATCAGATTTAAAAAGATTTCTAGAAAACATCAAGGAACATTGCTGGTGTTGTTGTAGGACTTTACTGAAAACCAAAGGAAAAAGAAAATTAAAACAAAGTTTAGAAACAAGAGTGCTTTTAAATTTGTTCACTTACCTTTCTTTTAACATCAGAAAAGACCTCCTTGCACGCTGCAAGGAGGGCCGTATTGAAGGGGCACTCTTCTACGTGCCCCATTATTAATGTGATTATTTGAGCTCTGGGTATAGAAGGATGAAAAATCACTTTTCATTCCAAAATAGTTTCCAAAAATATAGGCTTGAACTCACCTGCAGAGAGGACAGTTGTCCATCTCAAAGACCCCACGCGCACATCGGTCGCAGAACCGATGCCCGCATGGGGTGAGCATAATTTTTGGTTCGCTCTGGTGGCAATCCGCTTTTGCTGTAAATGGTTATGAAAAAAATGGTTATGAAACACCGACAAATGAATATCAAAAATAAAAAAAAAACAAGTGCAAGAGTTAGTGAAGTCTACCTACTTTGCTGAGGTGACGCCATGTCCAACTGCGAGAGTTGACCTAAGGCGTCCCTTTTTTATATATGAGTTGCATCAGCCTTGACGCTTTCATCGCATCAAAGCTTGACAATTGTTTAACATTTGAACAAANTGTTTCTGTCGGACTTGGTTTTGAGCTTAATTTCTTACAAAAGGGTGTGTGTGTTGATGTTGATTTTGTCCGAGTGTTGATTAAACCATCGTTTAACGAATTTTTACTCATCTCAATTTTTGCACCCCTATCTAATGATTTTTCACCACTTAGAAAGTTGGTTCATAGTAGGGATAGGCGTCTTCAGGAGTTCTTTTTTCTCACCTTGAAAAAAGGTCGAGTTGAGTTCTTCTTATCAACCTCAATGACCTGAAGGAATGTTTGCTCTTGCGGGGGTAGCAGAGCCCCTAACCAACCTATTGACCGTTCGATCGGTACAATTTTTTCACCTTTCGAACTATTTTCACTATCCTTCACTAAGTTTTTCTTGTCATTTTCACTAGTGAAGAACATTCGTGAGACAGGGGACTTCGATTGAATTCCAAAAAGTCGTGTTGAAAAAAATTTCTTTCAGCGTGTGGAAACGTAGGTATTTCTTGTTTTCACTTTTTCAGTRACATCTTTTGGCATCCTTTCAAAACCGTTGAATAAGTGTTGTTTGCCCTTTTTTTCGTGTTTGTCCAACATAGGGTTTAGCTTTTTAATTAGTTTTGACTCTTTTTGATTGCCAGTCCAGTTGTCAGAACTGAAAAGCAAGAAATTTCGTCACATTCACGTTTCACTGATTACGCTCCACCCACCCGCCCCCCATGGTTTAACTCTATTCTGACTGTATTTAAGCCAAGGGTGTCTTACGATCATTCTCTTTTTACCACTGACGATAAAAYGAGTTTAAGCTGAACCATGGTTTCGTTGGACAAGTACARCTGCCTCTGCCCCCATACTATTGGGCTAGAGATGTTCAAAAGCAAAAAGGGGAGTCAGTTTATCAAATGTAAAAAGTCTTGTTGTGGCTTCTTTTCTGCTGCCGAGGACCTGCACGAATACCTGAATGCCATTGCACAAAACCTGCACGAAGAACTGAAGGTTCCAAGAACACYTCTCTGCRAACACGGAAAACCTGCAACATTGCACCTTTCAAAAAGCGAAAAGAATCCAAAACGGCTGTTCTTTAAATGTGGAGATATTGAAAACTGTAAATACTTCCAGTGGGGCGACAGCCCGCCAAGCAAGAAAACACTTGAACACTGGAGTGAGAAAGATGTCAAAACCAGAAAAAGTATGGTTGAGAAATCGACAATGACCGACCCGCAACCCAAACCAAAGAAGAGAAAAAAGGAAGAAAACTAAGAACATTCTGTTATAAGTAGCTAAAAACAGAACTTTTTTGAACACTTTTTAACAAATTATTTTCTTTNAAAAATTTAGTGAAACAAACACAGTTTGCATTTGAAACTTACATTATAATTTCAACACTTCAACCAAGGCCAATATAGAAGACTGCAATATAATAGAACAAAAATTCCGGTCAGTGAAAACCAATCATCATTGCTGATAACAAAATATTCAAATAACAATTGACTTCACAAAGCCTTTAAAGCCAACAACACTTAATGTCACACAAGCATTTCGTTTTAGAATACATAATAATCAAGTAAGAATTATCAACATGCTCTCATTATCTCTTAAAAATCAAGCCACAGTTGGCACGGAAAGTGCCATTGGGGAACACTTCCACCTTTCTAAAACAATCAAGACATTAGAGAAACAGTCTAACACACTGTCTTTTCATAATACGTTTGGACTACCTGTGGCTTAGGTGACAACTCATTTACATCTTAGATACTTGCAAAACGGATTTGCATGTCAAAACGCTTATGTAAAATCGTTCTATTAAAGACATATCAGTAGATATAGTAGTCGTTTTCCCTGTGAGCCCTGGACCGTTTCAAAAGTACTAACTACACAACATACACGTTAACGACCTCAAGCATAGTGGTCACCATCTCATTTATATAATTTTCTAAAATATATCATATTTTAGTAAATTAAGGTGACAGCTAGCTGAAGTTTGAAATGAAAATATTAAATTTTGGTGATTCGATATGGATTCAAAATATATCACAACATCAGAACGAAGCTATAACAACCTTTCCTGAAAATTTCATACATTTCTGAATATTTTCATTTGGCCATAAATTTGTTCACATTTTATCCAATGCAACAAAACTTTCAAATTATGTTTATTTCTGTCAGTTCATTGGCATGGCAGTAACAAAGTTTTCCTATATTTCGTATTCAGAAACAAATAGACAGACGGGAGAGTTGAAAACACTGATCCCTGGTCCGTGGACCCCTCCATCGACCACCTGCACGGACCACCCATGAAAACATGGCAAATGTCAAATAATAGATTTGACAAAGATTATTTTGCATTTGGTCATTCAATAAAGGTATACATGCTAGTCAATTACAACGCTCGCTTCCCGACCTCGGGGAAAWACTGTGAATTTAACGTTTGAGTGGCGTTCAAATACGGTAAGGGATTTCCCTCGGTAAGACTGGGGGGCACATTCATTGTTAAGATCCCCGCTAGACTTATCCTCCTATTTTGGTCTAGTAGTAAATAAAAAAAAACAAATACCTTTCAGTCAAATTTTCTGTGATACACAGGGTTAGTTTTTGTATAATCCTGCATAATCATTTACGTACTACAATGAGGCTATGGACTGTGTAACAAGCTTCTTTCAAAAGTTTTCCATACAAGGAAAAATAAACAAATTTTACAAAACAAGATTGGTCGACCTCTACGGTTTCCAGACTCATAAATGTTCAAAGGAGAGTTAAAATACCTGCTCTTTGCCCCGCATTTTCCTACCACGATGGTCGGTTCCTATGGATTTTCCTCCCAGAAGGTCGAAGTTAACGAATATTCGATCAATTAAAACGAAACTTGGCAGGTGCATAGTATGTGAGCATAATAATTGTTTGATAGCAAAATTGGTCATGTGACTACAATTGTGACATTAGTAATTATGTTACAATTGTTTGCTGCATTACCAATTGTAAAATAAGGCAAAAGAAAATACAATAATATCAAGTCGCTAATTCTACATATATTGGTGAAAACCCCATATAAATCGGTTAAATTGTTGTGGAATTAAAAATAATCCAAAATAATAGATTTTATTCAAATTTCCCGCCAAATGACCATATATGGTAAAAAAGAAGCGATTTGCACGCCCACATGATAAAGTGTATCACAAATATACTTGCACCATAGGGCATGGAATCAAAATTGTAGTTTTTTGTCTTGGGACCATAGGCTTATTTTGCGTTTTTTGTCATTAAGTACATCATAATGACGTCAAAACACGTCAAAAGAGGAAAAATAAGCATGTACAATCCCAAGTCAAAAAGATTACAATTTTGACTCCATGCCTTATGGTACAAGTATATTTTGTTATACACTTTATCCTGTGGGCGTGCAAATCGCTTCTTTTTTGACCATATATGGTCATTTGGCGGGAAATTTGAATTTTTCAATGTTATAACTTTTTACAGTTTTATCCAATTTACATGGAATTTTCGGGATTAACATCAGTTTGTTACAGCAATGTTAGCAATAGTACAATGAAGACTAATTCTAACGTTTTTAGGGATGTTCTACAAATAACTGGTGCTAGTGACGTCATAACATTCAAAAACG